AATAACTTAGATGAAGTACATACCAGTACCACTATTCATCACGACCCTAAGATGTGTCTTCTCCGCAGCTTGATCAGAACTGTATATATATACCAGTATACCATGCAATAATCATGTACAGAGTAGAGCTCCAATTCAAAACCCAAAATAAGAAAACGGTATGCTATCCAGTAAGTTTGCTCTTCACCCACATGAGGATCTGTTGGATATTTTGAAACATAACTGCAGGAGCAGAGCAATGCTATAAATTGGCAACTGAATAAATTATAGTTCAGCCATAGTAGCTAGTTAGACGATCAACAAATACTACTAAAAGAAAATAGTTTTGCGAAAAGGTTAAGGTGCAAATTTGTTCTAGAAGTTTTCACTCAGGAGCACGGGACGCCCAAAAGGATTTTGCAGTACAAATTTGCCTTGGAAGTTTAAAATCGCAGCAAAATTGCCCTCCAACCATTAAAAACCAACATTGGCCGTTATATTTTTAACGGTAGGGGTATTATTGCCACGATTTTAAGCTTTCCGAGCAAATTTACTCCAAAAAAAACTTCTAGACGCCCAACACTTCTACGTGAAAACTTATAGGGCAAATTTTATACCTTAAACCTTGTTGAAATGTTAGTGGAAACAAGTTAAGGTTGAGAGAGTTTGATATAACTTCTCAGGGCAACCAATAGCTATTTTTCTATGGGCATTACTCCCCGTAGGTATTTGATAAACTCAAGAAAGTTCTTGTCACTCAGTAAAGAAACACACCTCATCATAGGAGGGGTTGCAGCTTCTCCAAACTCCTTTTTAAAAGCCAACTCCAGCTGTAAAGGAGGAATGTAAGATGAGATGTGCTTAAATGGGCGTTCACAAAATCATAACATACGGAAATGTAGTATGGAAGTTCAATCCAGAGAATAAGCAGACATATCACTATATGATTATCTTTATATGCATTTTCTTTATCCTCGTGAAAGGAAATGGGATTCTGCAATCTCAAACTCACTATAGGTCAGCTAGGAAATAGATAAGATCAATTAAAAAGAATAAAAGATTCAGAATTCTATTTTCAATCCATTATCTGTACAGCTTGATCAATTAGAAATGTCAGAAGTAATTATGTGCAGAAAAGCTCTGTCGACCACTTTCAACGAACTATATCCATTTATACACCTTTAAAAATAAGACAATTCAAGGAGGTTTTACAGCATGCAGAAAACATGGGGCAGAGGGAAGCTTATCACAAAAGCCACATCTTTTCCTGAGGATGTACCTGAACATAGATGACACGCCAGTCTTGTAACATTTTCCCTAGCTTACGTCTTTGCCATGCAGCATTGGTACACAGGATTTTGAGCAAATTATTTACTAACTGCAAATGAGATATTGCATGGATTAGAGGAAAAGCTAAATGCAACAGGCTGTGAAAACACTAGCACCCTTTTTTAGTAGATATTCCAGATTGTTTACGTAACAAAGTAATAATACAAAGTGCTTTAGTCAACCCTAATTGTGTTGGTTAATAACATGATATAAGCGTCTCATCCCCACGAGCATCATATCTATAGATTTTAGAACACATTTACCAAATAGAAGGGGTTAAAAAATTATTTTCAGGACAACATGCCAATTGGTTATGACTTCACTACCTGCCCAAGTTGTACCATGGATTCAGTTTTTTGAATGTCATGATCCTTCGTGACTTCAGGCAATCCAGCAGCTCTAGTAATCAAAGCAAACATTGGAATCCGTCCATAGAGCTTCCCATCTTGGACCAGCAGGAGCTGATGAAAAGTTAATCATTGCTTAAAGAACATACCAGATATCAAAATAAGAGTAGTAAGTGAAATCATTGTAACTTGCAAAATTGTACCTTTACTAGCCTGTGCATAATGAAATGATAAACCAATAGAAAAGAACTCAAAAGAAGCTTGCATCAATATGCAAACCACAAGCACAAATTAGGTATAAACAAAAACTGAGAGAACTTGGCGTCTCTAGCATCCCATATCAGGTTTTTTTAAAGCTACACATATTTTATTATGATTATATGTCACACAGTATCACATGGACTGTGGTGCTTTACCATGAAAAGTCAATTTTCCTAATGCTCAGGTTAAGTCATGTAAGCTTCTGACAATGGTGATTCCAAAAATCAGGCTCCTCCAAAGCGTAGATGTCCTTTAATCATTATATTTTTTAAAACAGAATCGCATGAATAGCATATCTTATCCATGAAAAGTCAACTTCTTTAGTGTAATAACCACTGACGTAAGCTTCTACTGGGGATGATAACTTCAAAAATATTCCATTTGACATGGTAAAAATAGTAATATTCTAATTGTTAAAGCATCTTATTGACATCTTATTCAACTGCTTTAGGGTAAAGGGTCAGGTAATCCACGTGAAACACACTATAATGAAGGAAAGATACTTTTTTATCATTTTTGTTCCTTTTAAGTACAGGGGGATAACTTCGATGTTCATCACAGACAACACACCCTTCCCTTCTTGAACATCTCGCAAAAGGCACAGATTGAAAAAAATTAGCTATATGGAAAAATTTTTAAATAACTGGACTTCTTATCTAGACAGAAAATAAATGTTCTATAAGAATATAAGAAAAGAAACAATAATGAATTGAGGGGAACTTAAGGGCATTTAAATGGTCCACCTGAAGATGAGATCTAGCAACCAAATCAGGCTGAGACTTCTGGAATTTAATCACAAAGTGCAAAGCAGCCTCCAGTGACGGATCCAAAGAGTAGGAACATATAATGTCCAGATCTTGCAGAAGTTTCACAAAATACTGAACAGCCTGGCACAGAGAAACAAGAAGCATTACAGGAGAGACAGTCACATAGTAACAGTAAACTGTGAAGCAAATGTATGGTATGAATACTGGTATAAAACAAATTTTCGTGAAAAAATATAAGTACAGTACCATACTTTATCAAATTCATAAAGATTTTTTTTTTAATATCTAAAAACGTATTGCAATGTTTATTTCTAAATAATGTTTCACAATATAATATGTAATTTCAAAGTATATACTATACTATAGGCTTGACATTGCTCATGAATTTAGCATGTACATCCCATAATCCCAAGACAATAGTCCATTTTCACTGCTCATCTTCAGTGAATGGGAAGCAGTCTCACTTTATCCCATGAAAATTGGCTTCACTGAAAAGAATAGCAACAGAACTAAAGAAGAGGATGCCAGAGCCATTTGACCAGGAGCATCAAGAAATAGGACCAGTCAATTGGGCGAACATCAATCTCAGACATGACTTGAAATTTCAGAGGAGAAAAGGCCAGAAATTTCAAATCTAGACACTATAATGATGTGTTTTGCTCAGCAGAAAATGTCAATGTCCTAAATGATAGGTTTCAATAATTCAATCGGAGGTATCAGCTGAGTATCAAGCCATATATGTGGCTACGAGATCTGTATCTCTACCGTATTAATATTGGAATTTCTCTTGACAAAGCAATGACTTCAATACTCAAGGCTTTCTCAAGTATCAGTGCTTCTGACATAGTAACAACATAAGCACTCACCTTTTTCCAACTGAGAATTTTAATAGATCGGGGAGGAGTTGGGGCTGATGATCTGCAGTTTAAACTAGCATCAAATCCAATTGCTTGACAACCAGATGCAGTCGTGTCTTCTATGTTTTGTTCACACATTCCCTGAGCACTAGCCCTAAGAAACTCTGAGGATTTTAAAATGCACTCAAGCTCCGAAATGCATGAAGCTATGTGTTTCCTTGCCAACTCCAGTCCCCTCCCTTGTGGCCGTCTGATAGACATCAAAAGATGGTACAAATGCTGAAAGAAAATTAAACATTGCGGAAATTTCAGTCAATAATGCTTGATTCATTGACAAGAAGATTGAAGGTGGATGAAAAAGATAGAAAATAAACAAATAACATCATTTAAGTCTAAGTCTAATATAGTTATGGTAATGTGACCACATTCTCAAGCCAGATGTGAACAACAAAGTTTATATATTAGCAGTATGTCAGCCTCAATTTTGACAGCTAATCTGTGCTAATAAAGATATATTTGAAGGGATGGATGCTGATTTTACATTTTTTTTTCTCTTATCTTTGATGTGCACTAATGGACAAAATGGATACCAAAATTATGTAAGCATAAAGACAACTCATTGCTGATGTGTTGACAAGTTTTCTGTGTGCTGATTGACCAAATGGATTGCAAAAATTGTGAGCATAAAGACAACTCATTTCTGATATGTGGACAAGTTATCACAAACAAAACGAGAATGTAGTTTTATATAATCTGCATGACTTATAAAAGAATATACATAGGATAAGACCTTACGAAAACGTAATCGGCATAACAATGCTTTGCAGTAGCCTTCTTCTAGATCAGGATTATTTTGAAGCGGCTCCGTATCTGCAATGGAATAGCTCAAAACTCAATTAAAAGCATAAATTTAACATAACATACGCCTACTTAAAAGAAGCAATAATAGAATAATCAAGGATTAAGGTAGATCCCGTACCCGGAAGTATTTTCTTACATGTATCTAACACCCCAAAGTATTTTGTGGTGCATCCAACACCGCGAAATATTTTTTAGACACGTCCAGCACCTTGAAATATTGTTTCTTTGTTTTCTTTTTTGCCTTGGTGCTAATGCACAAAAAACTATTTTTGGACGCTAGACACATCTGAAAAAAATACTTTGAGGTGCTAGACGCATCAAAAAATATTTCATGGTGCTAGACACACCTAAAAAAATATTTCAGGATACTGGATGTACCAAAAAATAATTTAGGGTGTTGAATGCATCTGATAAAATACTTCAGGGTGGTGAATGCATTTTAACCCAATATAATCAATTAGTTGCAGGAGAGGAACTTCTGTGTTCCATCCATTTATAAACAACAGAGCAATCCTGTTATGTAATTATAATTATAAATAAGAAAACACTTAAATATGATATAAATAGGGTTTAAATAAATATTATTAGGAGTTACATAGTATTTAATTATATTAGTAGGATTTGGATAGATTAGGATATCTAGATAATATTCAGATGATATTAGGATATTTACTTAGATTTATATCTATTAGGGCTTTTGCTTATAAATAAGTATTACCCATTCCTTGTAACTCAGTTTTTTGTAATGTGATTAGAAATTATTCAGTTTCTCTTGATCCTCTACTCTTCTCTATTTCTATTACTCTTTTTCCTTTCTCTTTCCTCTCTCTCTCTCTGTCCCTTATTTCTTTACTTTTCATAACAAATCCTCAGAGCAAAGAGACAGAAAATGGAATAAGCATTCTGGGAATAAAGTAAGGAATAATATATCACTGTGTATAGTTATTTATAAGTACATTAGCATTATCAACAATCAAGGGTTATAGGTATCTGGTGATTCAGGTTAAGATTGCTTATTGCTTGTAATTTATCAGAATCAGCATCAAATTAATATTAAAAGGAGTTCCAGTGTTCCCCTTTCTCTCACTGAACAATAAAGAAAAAAAGGAAGGAGGGAAAAAATTGCTTTATATCCCTGAGTCAGTCACTAATCAATTACCATATTGCTTATAGAGGATGGAAACACCCTTTTTTGGATGATAGAGTATGGAAACACTTGAATCAACAGAAAAGATGAATAATGGAAGGAAAAAAACAACAGATTACAGTATTGCTAAAGATGTAAGCAAATCTCTGCCCCAAAAAACTCTGAAGGAGTATATTTATCTATCTAACCAAGCTCTTTCCTCTCTGTAACCGGCTCTGATACCATGTCAACAAAAGATGACAGAGTCCTTCTATTGTATTTAGAATGAAGCAATTATATGGATCTTTGGATAAGTAAGGCTACTCTTAGAAAATCAGAAAATCACAATAAAGGACATAAAAGACTAATAAAATGACTAAAAAGTTTAAATTTTCTACAATTCTAGCGCTTCCAATATTTCTAACGATTTACAGAAAAGATCATAAATATACAATATGACAGAGTATATGTTATGACCCTCTACTATAACAAGACTTCAACCAGAGATAGATAACAAAGACAGGGAATAATTGAATCAGAACACAATATTCCTGCATAATTAACTCGATTGCAAGGGGCAGGATGATTTAAGACATAACTCACTCTCTTACACAATGAACAAGTGACTAACAGTTACGAACTCACAAGAAACATAACACAGAACAAAACACAATGACATTACAGACTCTCTAAAACAGAATAGGGTTGCCAATCTTGCGAGAGGTTGGCACTCTCCAACCCAAGGGCTAAAACCACACTTCAAAATTCTCCAGACCTGCTGCTGAACCAAAAGGGACGATTTATAGACCCCAAAAAGTGACTTTCACACTCCCCAAATTAAACCTCTCAGAGCCTTTGACCATAGTCAACCAACAACTTCCCTATTTTTATATTTCTTTCTAAAAGTGAAAGTTCTGACCGACAAAAGCATTTTTTCCCTTTCTGTATTTTCCTAATTTTCTAAAAGTAATCCTAACAGTATATAGGGCATAACTTATAAGGCCTGCTACAACCAGTACTGGGAACTTTCAACAGAATAATGGTAGTTATGGGCTTCAACATGAAACTACCTTCTAATACTCTTCGTTTAGATGATGATTTACATGCACGCAGTTGGCGTGATATTGATTCCTCAACAGCATTTAGCATCGATAAGCACTTCTCATCTCCATCTACACTCAGAGGAAGGCCATATGCCATGGTAAATAGATCCTCTTCCTGAAACAGATAAATATCACCATTTTTTTATTTAGTGAGAGATTTTTGGTAGGAGCACAAAATTCTACTTAAAGGACTAAAGGAGATAAACAAATATTGACATATATCACCATACTTCCATCTGACACATAAAATATGACAAATATGCTGAAAAGACGCACAAATAGACCAATAAGCAACTGTGAATTTGATAAAGGAAAGCCACATGCATCGTAAATCCACATCATTACTACATAAACAAACTTAATCCATGATGTGATATTAATAATGACATCAACAGAATTCCAGCATTCTATTTACTCGTTTCATGCCATATTCTTCAGTTAATGGCAAATCAATAATGCATAATCACACACTTCAAAAGAACACAATTTTATTTAAATAATTACAACTACTAACAAAATTAAGGACGGAAAATCACACGGCATATTATAATGCATAACAGCATAAGAGATTGAAAAAAAAAAAAGAAGATCTGCTGGAGTACTTTACTTCATGTGTGCGTGCATCTGAGACAACTGAAAGAACTGCTTTGCAGGTTGCACGAATGACTCTACAATATGAGTGCAACAGGGCATGCGATGATGTTCTGTCAGGCTGTAGGAGATAGAGGCAAGAATAAACAGTTTGAGCCAATGAATGACCCTTGTGCCATGTTGCCTGCCATGTGAAATAATCACTAAGATAATAAGAAAGGAAAGTGTAATGCATGTACTGAAACCAGAGACAACAAATGCACACAGTTTTGCATGTCACTTGAACATTTTTTATTGGTACAATTTTAGTTGAATTAATTTTAGTTCCCATATTCAACTAAAATTTTAAGCTTCATCACACAAATACTCTACAAGATTTATAAAATAGAAGTATCCTGGAAAGAGAGTATATTATTTACATACTCTATGCACTAAAGTGGTGCAAATGTGATTTATATAATAGAAGTATCCTGGACAAAGCGTATATTATTTCCATACTCTAAGACTAAAGCAGCGCAAATGCCGTTATATGACCAGGAGGGGAAAACAGCATTTATACAGAGCAACAGATTATGATCACACTCATCAGCCATGCATGATATGTGAGTGTTTCTGTAAGTTATCATATGGAAGGCATGTGTATGAAAATTAAATTACCTCACATGCCAGAAGATGGTCCATAATGTCAATTGTGCATGAATATCAGTTGTCTTATCAACATTAACAGGAACTGGAGCAGCTCCATTCTCGATGGCTTCCTCAAGAGAGTAGTATCTACAAACAATACCTGAATCCATCTTTGGGTCCATTATCTATCAAAAATAGAAAGTTTAAAAAAAAATGTAAGCAAGACTAATTGTATGAGTGACTACTGCTGAATAACCACTGAAAATGATTCTCATATTGGACAAATTCTCTGCATGTCGCTAGTGCATTGTTTGTGTGGCAAGGCATGCTCATTATCTCCATTTCAAAGTGGTAAAGCCAAATGATTTTTGTTTGTGACTAATTCATATAAGAAACCAGCGACATTCTACATTTCTATTATCATAAAAAGGGGCATAATACTGCTACCAGAGCCCACTGATATTGCAATCAGCAAGATGTAAAAATACCTCCAACGCTGACATTGCAGCAAATAGATTGAAATTATCCCCGTGAATCAGCTCTCCCTCCTGAAGATCTGTAGCCAACTACATGAAATAAAGTTCGAAAAGAAGAAACTAACATAGCCTCAAAGTATGGCGACCATTCAAATTAGGAAATCCAAGGCGGAAAATTATTCCAAAATTTACCAAGCAACATATTAATAGGGAAGGAGGGAGTGAAGTTTAATCACCTTTTTTTTTTTTTTGCCAACTAAGTTTAATCACTTATTAAATAATCAAGACCTCATTGTTAAATAAACTATCTCTCGCCTTTTAGGAAAAAATGAAATGTTTAGTGTTAGTTTACAATTCATGTGCATGAAATGAGAAAGTGGGAAACTGCTTTAGAGAAGGGGAAAAAACAACAAAATTTTATAATGATCAAATAGTAAACTCATGATTGCATATTTCGCATTTGTATTGAGCAGCAACATATACAAGACCGAGAAAATTAACCAAGTATTAGAATCTGTAAATCTATATACAATCTAAAAACTCCATCAACCCACACGTGACTCATTTTCAAACGCCATGTCTCACATAAAAAACCCTTCGATCAACTGATCCTACTATGTCTGAGATCAAAAGGGAAACAAACAAACTTGATCCTACTATGTCCACTTAACTTGACTAGATTTCTCCGCCAAAACCAAAGGCACCTGAAGCCAATTTTGATTTCCTTGTTCAAGCGGGAAGAGGAAAACCAGTCTATAAGACTCACAGGTAACAAGAACACAGACGGGGGAAAAAAAAAACGACCTTGGCAAGCGGCTTGAAGGAGGGGCGACACATCGGCCCAAACAGAGTTGTCGCCGGAGGGAATGGAGGTGCGACCAGGCATGGCAACACCGAAGGCTGCTTCGTCTGTAGGCTTCTGAGCCATACGTTGAAGCTTCCTCGGAGTTTATTATATTATGTTCTCCGCCACCTACGTTTCGAGGTCTTGTCAGTGTAACACAGACCTCCTGAGTCTCTTCAGGCTCGGGTCGCCAGGTCAAGTTCAGTGAGGAACATGGCAAAGCCAGCGCCTCAGGCTAAGGGGGTTTAGGGTACAACGGGGTCGGGATGATGGGTCGGGTCAATGGATCCACTTTTCTTTTTCCCTAATATAATTTGTTTGTCTTAAAATTTGAGTCCATTTTATTTGAGTCCTCCAATTTCAACTTTATTACTTTAATCATTAAAATTTAGTATATTTTAAAATGTTAATCCTAAATATGTATCGGTATTAAAATGTAATGAGGTATCATAAATGATATTAAAATGATGATATGAATTTACTAAATAATTACTAAATAACACCTAGATAAATCTTATGTGTATCACAAAAGGATTATACAGAAAGAATAAATTCTCAAAACATTAAAAACTCCTCAATTAAATAACAAGGAAAAAAAAGGCTGCATAGCTGCGTTTCGAGGACTAAATCTTTTTTTCTTTTCTCTATTATCCACACAAGGCTTAGTTAACGCTATTTATAACACTTAAGTAAATTTTTAACTATGCTATAATTTCAATACTAACATTTTAGGATAGATTAAATTCTAAGGACTTAGATCATAGGTTTGAAATTTGAAAGACAAATTCCAAAATAAACCAAAATTTTATGGACAAAAAATTATATTAACTTTTTTATTTTTTATTATTGAAATAGTTTTATTCCCAATTTTCGATGCATTCATTAAAAATTAATAAAACTAAATATTGAAAAATATTGACTTAATAATTTTATATTAAATAATAGTGTCTAGAATATGTAAAATAGAATTGTGTAACCGCTGGCAAAAAAAAAAAAGTATAATCAATTACAAATAATTATGGTAATCAAAGTATAACTAATTATATTTTTATTTCTTACGTAGTGCATGAAAATATTTTTATAGTTCTGAAAATATAAATAAATAATAATTATTTGTATGAAAAATAGAAAGGAACTTCTTTATTTTAGATTTATTACTCATTTATAATAAAATGTAACAACAATTTATTTTATTCCATAAATGTTTATGCCTACAATTTAAAAATCTAAAACACAAGTTTTATTTTAAAAAATATTTTTATACTATGTGAACAATTTGTTTTACTTTTAAATTCGTTATATCGTTCATATATACTTAGTCTCGATTATTACTAATCTTAAAAAATAAAGAAAATTACATTATATTTTCTCTTATTTTTAATATAAAAACTACTTAATTAATTTGAACAAATTAAAAAAATTAAACAAATAAATTATTATAACATATGTGCGACATAATCCTCCTAAAACACTCAAGTATAAGAAATAAGAAATAAAATTGATTCAAATTTTATATTTCTAAATAAATACAACATCTAACTAGCTCTTAGAAGCTAGAAGGAGCATTGTATTAGGTTTAAAATTTCAGAATATAAAATATAATAGATTGAGAACAGCAGCTATAGAAGCCAGACGTAACGATGGAATAGACCTGGGGGCAATTTATTCATTATGTAATTTTTTTCAAATGAGTCATTATGTGATAGGTAAAATTAATGAATTTTTTTTCCAATTTTAATATTCAAAAGAGTGTAGCATCATACAACATTTTATCCATCAAATTTTTTTTGGGTAGAATCTAAAGTATTCTCAAACCATTTTGAACTTGAAACTACTCTTTTTTTGTCCCGAAACATCAAGCTTTAAGCCCTCCCACAAACTGTAGCAATCTATCTATCAATTTTAACAAAACTAAATAATCATCATTTAAAAAATGGGATCATCAATCATCAATATAAAATATAAAATTTCTAGCAACCTCCATTACATATGCCATGTGAAGTTTGTTCATTCTTCCATTGTATAAGACCCAGATCTAGCTAGTTATGACACAATTTGGAATTCAATAAAATAATAAAATCAAATCAAATCTAAGTCGGTTTTATATAACTATGGCACATCAATTAATCCACGTCGAGTTCTGATCGTTACCTTAAAATCTTCCTTTTTGCCAAAAGGATATTCATTAAAAGAAAACATTATTAAATAAAACGGATAACGTAACTAACCAAATTAAGTCACCTTGATCAGTCGTCCCTTGTCTACTAGAAACAAAATACTCTTCCGGTCCTTAATATAAGACCCATTTAACTAATTTGATTAGATTAGGGAAGTTAGTTAAGTTAGTTAATTATAAGAAACGTGACATGTTTTTTCTAAAATACCATAATCATTCTTCTTAATATCCCCTCTTCCTCTTCTACTTGATTATAGTTGAGGGAGTATCTATAAAGGTAATTTAGAGAAAATTGATAAATATGAGAAATGGATTTTATATTTAGGACCAAAATCAACTCAATAATTACATCCTATATTAAGGAACGGAGGAGTAGCTAGATATAAGTGACAAAAGAGGGAATTGACTAAATAATTCCCAGCAGTGCTATTAATTTATTGCCAATATATTTGATATATTACTCCTTCTAATCTTAAATACTATGTTCAATCCTTAATATAAAATCTAGTTGATTAATTTGAAACGATTAAGAAAATTAGTTAAATAAGTTAATTATTTGTAATATATAGGTTTTGTCTTTTCCAAAATACCCTTATTAATCATGTGTATTAGCTAAAACTATCATTTGATAAACTTTTAACATATGCAATTACTACAAGAACTAATTTGAAAAAAAGAGATAAATATGAAGACTAAGTGAACAAAAAGTCTTATATTTAGAATCAAATTGAATGTCAAACTAGCTCTTATATTAAAGACAGGAGGTAGTATTACAACTTAATAACTAAAGAAAATTAATAAATGTTCTAGATCTTACGAGCATCCAAATCGGATCCCAAGTTTGTGGGTAATGAAGGCTATTTTATTAGTTTCAATTAAAACAAAGAAACTAGTCAATTAGCTGATGATTTAGATAGGAGTTGTGGACATTTACAGGTACAGAACAATTCCTCAGGGGCAAGAGAAAACCCCTCAAGGCTATTCACAATTTGGTTAACAAAATGGATCTCATGAAATTCAATAATGATTCTCAAATATGATGATCAGCAACAGTTTGAAGTTTATACATATCCCATTTGAGAGGGGTTTTGGCTGGATTTTTTTTTCTTTTTTTGGGGAAAAAAAGGTAAGTTGGGGCCAAAGGTTCATCAAGGTTAAAACATATTTTCAGGTTCAAAAAATACTTACAAGGACACTTGCAACTAGTAAAATCCTTATATCAGCAGGTGATTTTAAACTCGTGACTTGATAGATCAAATCTTAACTAGCTGTGCCAATCTTTGCTAGTAAATTGGTTAACTTATTGGGATATGAAATGTGTTTAGTCAACGCTGGCTGCTATTGCCTTGTTGAGTGAATTCATCAAAAGCTATGTTCTGTAGTTTCTAAACTCGATTGAAATAGTCCAGAGTAGAATAGCTATCTTCTGGGCAAAATTTTCTGTTATATTGATAGGCATGTCTTTGGTATTTAGTGTTAAGAGTACTACAAGATCAGTCTCAAGTCCTCTCAAGTCTGAAGCCCAACAATATATAAGTATGAAGCCCAATAGTCGACGCAAGCCCAATAGCTAAAAGTCCAGTGTTTGTTTTTATTCTTACAGCTGTCAATGTTCTAGTATATTCTTTGTACAGTGGCACGTGTATACATCTCCTGTATTCTAGGGTTTCTTACCCTACCTATAAAGTGAATAGAAAACTCCATTGGAGAGTGCGCCATTATTATACAGATACTTGCCTATTACAATTTTTAACTTGGCATCAGAGCCATTAGGTTAGCTACCAATGACGAATCCCAATACCTCCAGTGAGTCACCTGTGAATGAGTCCAGCCGAGCTGATGAGAGCTCTGTGGTCACTGCTTCTTTGCTGGCTAAGTTGACTGAAAAAAACAGTCCTCTGTCCCAATCTGTGTCTGTCAAGCTGGACAGGCTCAACTACTCCCTTTGGCTTATCCATGTGCTACCCATCATCAAGGGTCATAAGCTGGAAGGCTTTATTAATGGAACCAGGTGCTGCCCTCCTCAGTTTATTACAGAAGGAACAACGACAAAAGTGAATCCGGCATTTGAGGATTGGGTTGCTGCGGATCAACTATTGTTTGGATGGCTCCTCAATACAATGACATTGGAGGTTTCTGCAGAAATGACTTATGTTTCTACTTCAGCTGGTTTATGGCTTGCAGCAAAACAGATTGTAGGGGCTCAAACTAAGTCCAGACTTCTCCTTCTTCGGTCTGAACTTCAGAGAACTCGTAAAGGCTCCATGAAGATGCATGAATATCTGTCTAAAATGAAAAATCTAGCTGAGCAACTATCTCTAGCTGGGAGCCCTATGCCTTTGCCAGATTTAATTGTTCAAGCCTTGGCCGGATTGGATGGAGACTACAATCCTATTGTTGTGCAACTCTCAAATCGAGCTGATGAATTAAGTTGGATTGAAATACATACTCAACTTTTTACTTATGAGAGCCGACTTGAACAACTCATGCAACTTTCTGAAATTCCTTCTCAATTTGCTAACTATGTCAGACTGAATGAGAGTTTTCCACCTAGATCTGAAGGTACATTTTCAAGAAATAATTGGCGTGGTGGCCGAGGTAACAAAGGAAGAAGAGGACGTGGCAGGAATGGTCGTGGCTATGGCAGATTCAGTAACTCAAACAGTGATGGTCCTCCTAAGTGTCAGCTGTGTCAAAGAACTGGTCATATGGCCGAAAATTGTTTATATCGGTATGATAGATCATTTGTTCCATCTGGTAGCAAGAAGACAAACAGAAACTCCTACACTGACTTGGACAGTGCTTATTGGGCTACTCCAGAAGTGGTTAATGATGATTCTTGGTACCTAGACAGTGGAGCAACTAGCCATGTCACCAATGATATCAGTAAGATTGAGAATCCTTCAGAGCCTAGTGGTAAGATGAACATAGCTGTTGGAGATGGTTTTAAGTTAAGAGTCGAAAAAATTGGTTCTTCAACTATTCAAAATGTTACTAATCAGAAAGTTAAGTTGAATAGAG